GCTACACGCCGTCCGTAGTGCCGAATTTCCTACGCCGGAACCGGATCGAACGGTGACAAATATATTTGAACTCGTCCAAAGGCCCCAAGAGGGGATAAAGACTGGAATACCTATGCCTAAACTCGTTACTTATCAAAAATAGAAGGGCTCATTTACGGCCAGTAACGAGAAATTCGATGTTTTCCGCAGTAAATCTGTTTTTAACAAAGAAACCGTCGTTCGTTTAATTGTTAATCGAAGCGTTATTCATTAATTACCAATGCGCCCGAACGACCCTAGGGTGGTTCCCATTACTAAACTACTTTTTTCTCTCGTTATAACCACCTATTCTCTCCTATTGTCGTCGTTTTACGTAATTCGCATCAACACCCGTACTTTTCCTATTAAAATTTGTCGTATTTTCCGCTAATTATTTTTCGTGGCGCTTCCGGTCTCGGAAGCGCCGCTCTATCGCCATCTGTCGAGTAAAAAGTAAATTACGGGGGGGGAACGTTTCGTACTTTTCTCGATTATTCGCGTTTAGGGGCTTCCCCTCTCGGGTTTTTATTTTAAATTGAGGATATCGACGTACCGCGTTAAGTGTAAATTTCCTAATTCCTAGAATAAGGACGTATGTTTATTAGACGTACGGCGTTTAAACACCTTTTAGGCCTATATACGCTTTTCGTATAATAATTAAAACGTTCGGTCCAATTTATTTCCTCGGAAAGTTGATTAGTTTGATATATTTTTATTCCTTTTTTATTACGTCACACGAGTTACGGCGCTAGTGTGGCGACTCTTTAACCACATTTCGACACGTCAGATGGCGCTACTATCTCTTCGGCCAAACTCGATGTAACGTCTTTTACGTCGTTTGGATTAATTATCTCCGGGTCTTACCCCGATATTGAGTGAACCGAATCCCGCTTTACTTTTCTTTTTTAATCTTTCGAACTTCGATGTAATTTATGGTTTCGGCGGGTTTTATTTAATTTCTTTTTCCGCGTTTCGCCCAGCGTGATAAGTAGAAAACCGTTCGTCTTATCGCGTTACGGCAGCCGCAATATCCGTAACACCGTACCGAGAAATCGGAAGTCGGAAGTTAAAGTTTTACTTCCGACTCGTACTCCTTCCGTCTCCCGGTTATTTTCTGCAAAACTTTCTCTGCAAATTCCGATAAGACAACTCCTCCACCTCGGTCTTACCGTCCACCCCGATATAGCGTTAAGGCGATAGCGAAACGTCGGTCGTCTTTAGTTCCGGAAAATGTTCCGAGATGGCGATAGGGGATCGAGAAACGGAAGCCGACGGGAGCGCCGGGCTTCCGACTTCCCACGCGATAAAACCAACGATTACTTTCTTAGCGCAATTACTCGAAAGGTGGTCCTCGCGATAACGACGGTGGACGGATTGCGCCGCTTACCTCACAAATTGCTTTTTCTATCTTCCCTTTTATTATTTTATTTTATTTTTTTATTATCGCGGCCTTTGTTTCCGCTCTTATCGCCGTTTTCCCCACCAAAGATTCATTTCGGAGAGAGATTTTCCCTTCCGTTGCCGAGTAAGCCGTACCCTTCGAAGGCGACGATTCTTCGCTCCTTCCTTTAAGACCCAGGCGATTAAGTGGCGTGAAATTGCTTTAAGCGCGCTTTAAGAGCCGACCATTAATTTTTCCGACGAATCTGATACGAGCTACGGTTTAATTCGCGTAATACGGATTCGTAGCGAAGTGTAAAGCGGAGGAAACGAAAGGTTCTTAGTATACTTTTATTTTATAAGGGAGCCGTCGGTAATCGACGTCCACGCTGGGATGGAGGGGGTTACGACGAGTCGGACGAGAGGAATTTGAAATTCGATCGACGTCCGTCTATTTCGTTAAATTTTATACAGTTTGCGCATTTAATTATATTTATAACAGAATTTCTACCGACGGTATCCATCGTCGGTGAAGAGATAAAGATTTTAAGGGCTATCTGTCGGACGTCCGAAGAGGTGAGGGGATGGAGTAAGCTCGAAGAAACTGGGACGAGAGGGGAAGGGAGAGTAAAAATTTGGAGGAAAATGCGGACGTAATTTACGAATAGCCCCTAGAAGAGAAAGAATTTTGGTCGATCGATAAATCGCGTATTGCGCTAGAGAAGAAACGATGCCCGCGCTGGGTTTCTACTGGAAAATGATACACGGGAGTGCATCTAGAAAATGATTTTCTTTGTTGCTCCGACAAATTTATTCTTCTGGCAATTACTTAAGTGTAAAAACAATAGATTCTTCTTACCGAAAAACAAATTCTTTGGCGAATTCTATCGTCTTATTGAGAATAATTTCCATTATTACTTTTTATCGGAGACAAATTCTCTTAATGTCGTTGTTTGTAACGCGTTTAAGTTACTCGTTTATCGCACGTTTCTGTCGTTTCGTCTATTAGCCAGCGTTTACTCTTCTTCCAATAATAAAATATCGCGTCGGTTGGCCGGTAATTCGCACACCGTCCTTAATTAATAGGAAAAAAAATTTTTAATCGCGACTTCTCTCCACCTACGACATAAATTCGGCATTAAAATTTGTGAGATTTTACGTGTAGACCTATTTTAGTTACGTCGGAATACTCCGGAAATTCCAGAAATAATTGTACAGTTGTTATTAAAAGTTTTTCTAGAATTATCTAGAATTTTAGCTCGGTCAAAAACAAACATCGGACGGCGAGACGAAAACGAACGTTACGCTTTCGGGTTAAAATTTCGTTTTGTAAAAAGTAGTTATTACGTCACGACACGGAAAGTGTTTTAAAGTTAAATAGAATCGCGTGGTCTAAAATTTAGTTTAAATAGTCTTTAAAATTAATTACGAAAAAATGTTCCGGCGCATTCGTAAATTAAACAAATAAAAAATTCTTCTTCCATCGAATATAATATGAAAGTAAAATCGTTCTTTTATTAGTAAAGAAGCCGATGAAATATTAAATCTCTTTAAAATTTTTTTCTAAAAATAAATCGAATTTTCTTTCATTAAAATTGATAAAAATCTACAAAATATTTTCTCGGGCGCATTAATTTTTTATTAATTACGAAGAGTTTAAAATTAAATTTTGTAATTTAATCTTAATGTCCATTTAAACGCCGAGCCCGACGGAAGTCCGGGGTCGTTTTTTGCCACGTCACATCCTCCCGCGGGCGTGTTTGGCTTTTAACTAGAGGAAGGGAGGAGTCGAAAAATGGAAAATGTTGCGTTACGTAATGTACGAACGAGAAAACGAAATAATTTGTCTATTTTAAAAGGAAATTTGCCGAGAAAGTAATTAAAACATCCTTTTCGTTCGAGAAGCCGAAATCCTCCCCTTTTCCATGATAATTTCGGGAAGGTGTAAATTTTCGTACCTCGAGTGAGTCTCCTTCGTCCCGGCGGCGACCAATTCTCTTTAATCAGTAGAAATTATTTAAAATTTTAGTTTAATCTTTTAATCCGGCAAAATAAATGCATTCGCATATAAAAAATCCATTGGGCGATTTTAAAGGACAATTTCGAACGCGATTTAAAAGTAATTTATCGCGGTACGAACAGTTAATAAAAAAAATCTAAGCGAAATGTTTTATCGGAGGATTATCGTCCCAAAGGTTTCCCTAATTTGAAGTTTACTCGAATTTATCTCTTCGGTAATTCGATAAGAAAACATAAGTTTTGTAACAAAAATCGTAGTTAGTCTGTCGGTCTGGATGGTAAATAATATCAATTTTCTTTCTTTTAATGTTTATTTTTTGGATTTTTTCGCATTAGTCGGATATAACCGATTTTATTAAATAAATTTTGAATGGTTAATTGCAATTAGCGTGGTCGATAAACCTCTTAACCCACGACCGACCGAAACGTCTAATTTTTCTTTTTATTAGAGTTTTGTCCGGTAAGAGGAGTCGGGCGAGGGAAGAGAGATGACAAATTTATATTTGCGCCGCTTTGGAGAAAGATCCGCCGAGAAACTTACGTAATTCTTGGCGCAGTAATTAATAGAATCGTGGTCGAAGCATCTTTTATCTTCCTAAATCTCAACCGTCGTCTTCCAAAAGAAAATTTTTGGCATTAACGAGAATGAGATCTTCCGAGAGAAGCATCTTTCCAGAAGTTTGCCGAAGCATTCTTCTAAATCCCAAACATCTTCAGGCGGAAGAAGATGGGGATTTAGAGGACGAGACCGATCAGTTAGAGCATATTTATTGATATTATAAGAGCTAGAATATAACGTAATTAAACGACTAGTTATTTACGTTTATACGCGCCAGGGTATTATACAAAACTTAAGAAATTTTCACAAAATATCAACGAAATATCAAAAATAAAACGATTTTAAGATCATTAACGCCAGTCGCAAACACCGGACATCGTTTACGCTTACCAAAACCGTCTTAGAATTGTCCGGTTTACGAATAAAACAATTAATTGCGATATAATTAATGTTTTTTTTTTCAATTAATTAAATTACGATTTGTACTGTACGTATTTTAAAACAATTTGTGGACAAATTATTTCATATTTTGCGGGAACGCCACGACTTTTCTTCGTTTAAATATGCGAACTCGAAAATATTCGTTAAAGCCACTTAATAATGCTTAAAGGAACGAAAGACGGAATAACGTAGCTTAAAACTTTAATTAAAATATATTTATTTCGAATAGAAAGTTTTTAACGCGGTGGCAAGAATTGGCATCGAACGATCGATCTTCGGAAGCTTGGAGAGGACGATCTCGGAAGATGCTCCTATTTCTCTTTAGGTCCTCCAGTGATATTTAACGTTTAAAGCTTAATTAGTTTAGAAAAGTTAAATCATTTCATTGGAGAAAGAAAAGAAAACGTTATTTACATTTAGATAATTTACCGCCACAAACGTTCTTTTAAAAAGAAGTTACATCTAATTTTCTTCCTTCTGATTATGATTTTACCAATATCCTTAATTAAACTCCGCACGCGCGCCTTATTTTCTATTTTCGAACGGAAAAGAAAATATCATTTGGCCAACCGTCCGACGATTTGAAAAATATTAAGCGCTTTCGTTTAACTAACTTCTAACTTACTTAATTGAAAATACTTTTTTGTTAAGATTTTGACAAAATTTACGTCTTTAAATTAAAATTCTTCAAATAGTCAAACGGTTAACAAAAGAAGAAAGCGGTTATTTAATGCTTATCTTTAAAAAAATTAAGGCAATTAAAGTAGAGAAGTTTATTGGAAGGATGCTCGAGGTTATAAGTTATCGTTTCTTCGTCCTCTTTATAAGCTTCTTAATACTGATTTTTTCAAATTTTCAATATAAATTAATGCCTTTTTTGATATTAAAAACTTCTTTTAGATTAAAATGCGAAAGATTTGACACTTAAAGTCGTGATGAATCTTAAGTTTGAAGAGTCGAAAGCTGGACACTCGTAAGAAATTTTAATAAATCTTTGTGACTATTACGATATAAACACCACTCCGTTTAATTTTTACGGATCTTTTTTTTATTTTAAAAGCGTTTTTAAAGCCGAAAACTGCAAATTTGTGCGCGTTTAAGCCACGTCTCCGCACAAAAATGAAGAATCGTTAGGAGAAGAGAAGAAATAAAGCTTTAAAATATTAATCTTTCGACGTTTTTTATATAGATAATGAATTATAAAATATTTATTAAATTGATTATTTTATAAAAAGAAATGAAATTGTCTCGTTAGTTATTGATTATCGCCAGAATAAAACGTTAAATTAAATCAAGTAAAAAATACAAATAAATTTTTAATCTATAAAAAATAAAGAAAATTACGCCTTTTATTTCATTATTTTTGATTTTGTCCAGGAAAATTCGTAATAAAATTTAAAATTTTTCATTAAAAATGCATTCTAATTGGATAAAATTTAAGATTTATTTTAAAAGTTTCCTAATAGCTTCTTTGGATCGATCAAATTTCATACAAAATTCATTTCCGTTAACGAACCATTTTGAAATTCTGTCGCCTCGTCCGTCCGTCTGTCTGTACTTCGAAGGATATTTGGTAAAGTAGTAATAAACTTTGAATAATGTTTAAAGACTATTAAGTCGACCCTGTTTTCGCGAAGGAGAGGAAATTAGAAAAATTTTACGGCTGGAAAATTCGACTTATTTAAACACCGAAGAGAATAAGAGAGAGCGAAAGAAGAATTTCGTATATTTTTTTGAAATTAATGACGTTACTCTCATTTTACATATTTTCTTCTAATTTTGAATGTAAAAATAGTGAATTACAATTAAAAGAGCGCGTAATGACTCGTGTTTCTTTTTAAACGAGCGGAATTTTAAAATTCGAATTTAATTACGGAAATTACGAAACTCTGGCGACACAAAGGGACGACAAAAGTCATTCTTCCTTTCGCTAACGACTCGAGCGTTACGTAACACGGCTTCGTGTCTTCGTTTGCACTAAACATCCTTTATTCTCGGAAAGAATATTTCGAATTGTTCCGGTCGAAAATGCGACATAAATATTAACCCGTAGGAGAAAACGTGCCTTTTTTACGTGCCGAAATGATAATCACGCGCGCAAGAAAATCAAAAATTCTTACTACGATCTTTTGTAAGAAAGAAATGGCAAATGTTGTCAATTCTTTGTTACAAAACACGGTAGAACGTGTGGATAAATGCGGAAATTTCCTCTCCTCATTCGACGATCTTACGTACGCGAAATCTTAATTTTGAGTCTCTGTCGCGAGATACGTATAACGACACTCGACTCCAATCAAATTTAACCCCCAAAACTCCAAAGGAAAAGTAAGAGAAAACGAATATTTGCACTCGCTTTTTAGTTAGAATTAATTTTATCTTCGATCCTCTTCGTCTCGAGCATCTATTTCCGGAAATAAAATGAAATTTCGATTCACTCCGAGAATTCAAACTGCATCTTTTCCTATTCATTTCTACTTTAGAATTTATTGAAAGAGGAAAGTTGTCTTCGTTCTTTTATATATGTATTTCTTCAGTTATAAAAGTTCTTATGGCGTAATAACGTTTGGTAGCGACGGGACGACGACAAAATATTCTTAATACGAATTTCTGTGTTCCGGTAGATGCAGAAGATTCGATACGGTGGAAGTATTATTATTTTCATTTCCTTTCCATTATTCGAAAATGTAATCAAGAAATGTGGAAGTGAACCGAATTTCACTTTCGTTGGATTGATTCGACATCCCATTCGATCTTTCAATACGAGAATCCGTTCGGACGAGGGGCGGCCCATTCTATTTTCTAGCGGGTGATGCGGGATGCGCCGTACTTTATTGCGTAGAAAGGGGCGAAAATGGAATGTTACTCGAGGAACGGGAAATGTCTGCACCGTAACGATACATAAAGTGGAGAATAAGAGAAATTTACGAAACGATTAAGCCCCTCTTAATCTGTTTAATTATATCTCCTCGGCGAGTTCGAAGCGTAGAAAAACACCGGAGAAAATAAATTATCGATAATATTACGCATAGAATAAACTACGAATAGTTTTGCCTCCTTTAAAACATTTTACTACGTCCAATTAGACAAAATTTGAAACGTTTTAATGTTTTTAAAGGTTAAAAAAATATCAATAAGAGAAAGTTGAAGGGGGAGAAAACGTCTTATCATTTAGGGAAAGAAGTTTTAATCGCGTAATTAACCGGAGTCTTTTATGCCAGAATAACTTAGAAAATATCAAATATTTTCTCGTCGATTATTGTCGGAGTTGGCTAATGAGATGCGTAAAAAGTGAAGCGCGTCACAACTAAAATCCTCGTTAAAAATGACTTCTTTCGCCTCGGCAAATAACTCCGTCCTGTCCACATTTTTTTTATTAAACGGTATTTATACAGCACGTTCGGACGTACGGTACTTAAACGCGATGCGCGTAAAGCGTGCGGCGCCAGGAATTTGATAAACATTCTTTCTTTCGTTATTTTGTCTCCAGTTTGTGGGAGCGTAGTGGAGCATCGAAGCTCATCCCCGGGTAAAAAACCCGAAACTGTGAAAAAATCTCGACGAAAACGGTGTAAAGAAGACGAGAAATTGGTATTACATCGTTTTATGTAAGTGTTATTAGAGGAGGAGAGGAAACTTCTCCGTTATTCGGTTATCTTTGGAGGAATCTTAAGAGTAAAATTTTATAGATTCTTCGTACCGGGCGGAAAGTTAGTAATTTGCTTAGGAATCGTTACATTAATTATAATTATTTACTTAAAAGTTCCATTGTACGGTCGTAATAGTATTACTATCGGTGAATATGTGGAACTTTAATCGTTTCTCGCCGAATGAAAGAGATCCGAGTTCGAAACTTAATCGAATTCCTCTTTTAACATTAATATTTCCTAATGATTTAAATTTAATTACTAATGTTGTTGAAAGTTAAAATGTCTTCCAAGAATACCGAGCCATCTAAGGAATATTAAAATTCACTCGTATTTGGTCAGTTAAATCGGAATTCGGACCCGTGTCCTTTCCTGGGAGGTTGTTTACGGATTCCGAATGACCTTTAGGGGGTCGGGTTTTGCGGAGGATCGGCGAACTTTTTTGTTTTTTGAGAAAAATGTTAAAAAATTGAAAATTGTTTTTGTAGAAATTAATGAAATTCCGTTTAAATGCTCTTCGTAATAATAAACGTAATTTACTCCTCTCGTCATTTATCTTCTTTCTTTATTGTATCGTCCCTAGACCAGGAAAAATAAAGCGCTCTTCTTAATTATAGATAATAAATTAATTATATTAATTATAGGTAACGTTACCAATTAAAGAATTAAAAAAAAATAATTAAATTTTATTAATTTCGATAAATAAAACAATTTAAAATAAAAATTTCCTCTGGCAATTTATTATCTTAACCGTGTTCAGTTAATAGCCAATTTACTTGTATCTTCTTAATGGCCGCAAATGTATACTTTTTGTACGACGAAAACGTCTTAAACTGAAAATTCCCATTTAGTTTAATGGTCCGGAGACGTGAGACTTTATTATAAAAAATAATTTCAAAATTAATTCTCGTTTTACGTGATTTAAAAAGTCCGAAAAACTAAAATTCGTGTGCCAAAATAGTTGAAAGATACGAAGGAAGGTCGTCAATATTTGCATATTTCTCTAGTTTCAAACAATTATTATTATTAATTTTCGCTTAAATTGTGAAAGAACAATTTAAATATAATTTTTCTGTGTTTCGGGGGTTTATATTAGTTTTCGGACGAAAATAACATTATTAAACCTGGAAGTATTATTCCTATAAACGTATAATGTATCAACCGAAGTTCCGAGAGGGTTATTTTCTGCTGTACTGATTCTCTACGAGTATATCAAAGGGTATTTTCTGCACGGCCTTTTTCGACATTATTGCTAAACACGTCTCTACTTCACCGTCTTACGGTGTGTTTTACGTAATTTTAAGTACCCTTTTTTGATTCGTGGACGGGTTGCAAATATTAATACTTTTATTATTTGGATTTCTCTTTGTATACGCGCCTATAATCGACAAAATCTTTCTACCCGTAAAATACGTAGAGTTTTTTCGGGCGAAGATATTAAAGTTATTTCGTATGCCGATCCGCAGACGTCTAACAATATAAAATGTCGAAAAAATTCCCAGGAGTTCTCCGAAAGCGTCTTAAATTCTTAAAAACTTTAAACCATTAAACTCGGAGTGGATAATTATAACTTTTTTTCCGAAAGAAACTAAATTTGCTCTTAAGTTTCTTTAAGATTAATTTTGTTTTACACTCGGATGCGGAATACAAGTTACATCTGGGATCTCTTTTACGTCTTTAAAACGTTAAAAAGGGTAATTATATCATTTATTTTCAAAGAGTAAATTCAAACGATACAAAAAATCTGTGTTACGTCTTACGTAACATTTACGAAAATTCAAAATGACTGCTTAGTGAAGCGAATGGATAAAATCTCACCCAGAACAAACCGAAGACGACGAAAAATATTCCAAAAATTAAATTAGCGTATATATTTATATATTTTTATTTTCTTATCGCATTTCAAAGATATTACTCTAAACAAAGTCAAAATTTATACTAATGACTATATACTTTTACACTCGACTTACAATCGTATACCTCTACGATCGAAAATATCTTTTTCCCAAATTATTTTAATAGAAAAAAATGTACGAATCAAAAGGTTCTTTACATTATTTTCTCCGAATTAATTAATGAAAATTTAATTAAACGAATTATAATAGAATCCGTGTTCGGCTTCTCCGCCAGTAACCGGAGCAATGCGTGTTGTAATTCAGTCTTAGTCGGTCATTCGAAGTGTTACAACTCGGTCCAAACGGAAAATTCGGCATACGTTAATTATATATTATATTAAATCTTTAGCCATTTAAATTCGTATATTATAATTAGAAATTGTTAATCGAATTAAATCGCAAATTAAGTCGGTGTAAATACGTCTCTGGCATGGGAACTTTAGAAAGTTTAATTGGAATTTGTCTAAGAAAGTTAATATTGCGCCCACAAAACATTGGCGTCGAAATGAGTTATTGCCAGGATTAATGTGTTTTTAATTAAATAACTGTATTTAAATAATATTCAAATTTCGGAAATGGTTCATTTAATCTCTAGAAACTGTGGATTTTTGGTTAATACTTGACAAAAAGTGAAA